AATAATGAAAAGATAAGTGTCTCAAAATAATTTACTACACTTAATGATTCCTTATCATCCCTTTTCAATTTACCTACTGTTAAAATCAATGGGAATCTTAACATTAAGAGTCTGACCTGAACCACTGCTCTTATGGAGGAATAGGAAACATGAACATAAGAAAATCATTCAGTTCTTCAAATATCCTTTATATCTCTGCATAATTGAAGTATCCACAGACCCAAAGTGTGCTTGTGGCTCAACACCTTTCACCATGGCCCTCACTACGCTGGGTCACTTTTCAATCCCAGCGCTCCTTCCAGGAGATATTCTAAAATTTCAGTTTTTTGAGAGACGGAAATTTTCACCTTGCCCCCAAAATTTACACAGCACAACTGGTTGTTTTGGGGTTTTTTTGAGGTTTTTTTCCTGGTTTGTTTGTTTGTTTTTGTTTTGTTTTCTTTTTTGGTTTTTTGGTAGGTTTTTTTTTTTGTTGTTGTTGTTGTTTTTTTGGGTTTTTTTGTGACACAGCTCCCTCCCCAAAGCTGAAAAGAGCACTGGAATTTTGAGGCCAAAGCAAGCAGGAAAGGCAGCAGGCCTGGTTATCTACATGGTCATTTACATATGCAAAAGGCAGGGCAGCACTTTCTTAAGCACTTATGATACTTGATAAACTAATTTCCAAAGAAAGAAGAATTTGCAGTATAAATCTTGCTAAAGATCCATGGAATTTGGAATGCTCTGTGCCTTGTAGGACATGGGTAACCCGGGCCTTACCCTAGGACCTCAGGGTACCCAGCTCCTTACCTGAGGATAAATTTTGGGTTATTGCTTTGAAAGAGCTCATGAAGAGCTAAAACATGGTAATCTTGGAAAAACTGGTCTCCTCCAAATAAAAGAAGTGGTTCCTGTGTTCTGGAACAAAGCATAAGGAAAAGAAAAAGGCACAAAAAGTCCAACTTACCAAGCCCAGCCAGGTCCGAGGTGGATTTCCCTAGCCCAGAGCTGTCCTGCTAGAGCTGCTGGCAGGGGGCAGATGGTTACACACCCTCTACTCACTGCTGTCTGTGCACAAAAAGCCTGACGCACTCATGATGCAATCCCCAGCATTTTTAACTCTCAAAACAGAAGTGATCCCGCTGGAAGAGGGCGCGGTTTTTGAACACAGAGAGAGGGCTACGTCTAAAAGAGGATGTTTGAAAATGAATTGAGATGTTCCTGACCACAGCGTGATGCTGAGGAGCTGCTGACAGCCACAACGGGGCACGGGGAAGGAGCAGAGGATCGGGGCTGCGCCAGGCAGAGCGAAATCGGAACCAAATTCCACCAGCACTTCCACTGGCAGGAGCTCGGTGCTGCTCAGCTGACTTGTGGACTTACACTACTTCCCCTTTGGAAAATTTAGAGTCTGGTGATGTGCCACTGATGGGGAGGAAGTTGGTAACTTCCTTTCCCCTGGATTTTGATGAAATACCCTGTGTCTGTGATGGGCCAACAGGACAATGTACCAACCTGAAAGCAGCAGCTAATAGACAGCTCTGCACAATCGTGTTGCTCGTTGACCAAACCCACTCTTTAGGGGTTAAAAAAGTACCTCTGGCACATCCCAGGTGCTCCCATGGTGGTTTTAAGAGTCTTCTTCAAGCTGAAGCCAAGCTCATGCACTAAGCCCTCCCCTCAGCACAGGATCCAGCCCACAGATAGTCTGAAGAGTTTTGTTGGTGACTTTTCTAAATCTCCTTTTTTGTCAGAATTTAAGAACCCCCCAGTGAAGCAGAAGCTGAATCTCATCTAAGTACAAGCCAGAAAATTCTAAAAGAACACTGCTTAATGACAGGAGCAAAACACAAATGATCATCCATGTCAAGGACAGGGACACCTTCCACCATTCCAGGGTGCTCCAGGTCCCAGTGTCCAACCTGGCCTTGGCCACTTCCAGGGTTGGGGCAGTCACAGCTTCTCTGGGCAACTTGTGCCAGGGCCTCCCTACCCTCACAGGGAAGAATTTCTTTCTAATATCCAATCTAACCCTGCCCCTGTCAGTGGGAAATCATGTGGTGCCTTAGAAATTAGGTTTGGTGTCATTCTGGCCATATAGGTTCAATGAAGTCTGTAAAATTATCTCTCTTCCCTCATTTTCTCCTGTATTACATGAAAACCTTCTCCTGTATTTCATGAGAACCTTGGAGTTTTATGGAGGCAAAATGAAAGCTCCCATCAAATTTATATAAAACTCATTTAATATTTAAAAGCTTCTCAAAATTACCTGATTTTTAATCACGTTGCATGAGCAATTTCTGCACAGAAGGTGTGGCTGGGGCTCCAGCAGAGTCACTGCCCACAGTCTTTGCAGGCAGGAACCAGGGCAGATCCAATTCCAAGTAGTTTTAAATTAGTAGCTTGCAATTAGTGCCAGCTGCAGCTGGAATTTTTGTGCAGCTGCTTCAACAAGACACAAAAGTAACAGAGAGAGAGGAAGAAATCAAGTCAGGTAATTTGTGTGGAGTGATTAAAAGCAAATCAACTTCCATTGCATAGCCAGCAACCTGATCTATGGAATGTGTCCCTGCCCATGGTGGGGCTGGAATGAGATGAGCTTTACCATCCCTTCCAACAGAAACCAGTCCGGGATTCAGGTGGTAAATACATCAATATCCAAAGAAATCAATGTATTCTCTCAATTGGATCTCACAAAAAAGAAATTCCCTTTTATTTACAAAAACAAAGTCAGAGCGAGATAGAACCAAAGTTAGTTCAGAAGCTGAGCACAGATTGCAGTCAGTATAAACAGCAAGGCAAGGATGTCAGAATTTAGAGCTGAATATATATTGGAAAAGAATAAAAAATACTCTTATAGTATCATTCATACATGGAGAAAACAAACACTACCACAATGAAGGATATTATGTGAACTATGGTTGTATGTAAACAAAGTCCCATCTTTCAGCACAGGCTGTGTACTTTGCATTCACATAAACATGACACAGATATTGATGGCTTGAAAGGTTTTATGTTGGATTTTTTTTTCCTAGCACAGCTGCGGCGGGCCGTTTATTTCCCATTCCAAAGGAACTTCACTCCATGATCACCCGCACCTTAAAAGAACCCCCCCAAACAGCCCCATCGCGCCCTCACGGCGCGGCTTAAGTACAAGAGGGGCGGGGTTTAGTATGACTGACAGCTGTATCGCCCAATAGGAAGGCGGAAAGCGCCCGCCTCGGCCGCTGAGTGGCTGCTGGTTGCCGCGGCAACGGCGCGCGGCGGGCCCGGGCGCCATTGCGGCCCCTCGCAGCGCGGCGGGCGGGACTCGGGCCGGCCCTGCCTGGGAAATGGGGGCGCGATCCCGTGAAAACCGAAATAACCCGTTCTGCGTCCGAAAAAGGGTTCCGGAAAGAACGCGGCAATTGCAGTGCTGCTGACATTGGATTAATGATGTGCTGGTTTCCTTTTATTAAGGGTTTTGAAATAGTGAGGAAATTAAAATGAAGAAATGGCCACGTTCTTGATGATATCTTCAATAAATCGATCTGCAACAGAAGGAATTGCTATAAGGAATTATAGTATATATGAATTACATATTGCTATATTGTGTATGTATATAAATATTTATATATACATATATACAGTAATATAATAAATACTATATGTTCATATTACAAGCTATATGGGTCCTATACTTACAAATCTGATATTTCATGAATACAACACATATATTTTGTACTAAATATGTGTATTTTCCACTAAATATATGTATTTTGCATACTCAGTACTCACTATTGTGTTTATCTGTAGTAATCCAGCAATTGCTACTTCATCACCTAAACTTTTAAAATTTTCCCATTTCTGCAATTTTACCAATACAGTCCAAAATTTTTAATAATAAACTTCGAAACTGTCATAATGTATCTTTCAATCTAAAACATTGTACCAAGATCCCAGAATATGGGCAAATCACAGAGTATTTCTGCAGGAAACTCAGTAAATGGTAACAATTTGGGAATGATTTATTGGTGCCACGGGATTAGGATCTGAGGAATCTGGTGTAGGGAAAGTTGGCACACCTTGCATGCACATGTGTAGTTTGGTTTTTAAAGATTTTGGGAAAGTATTTGCATTGAACTTTACATTAATGAATAACAACTGTGTTTTTAGGATTTTTGATTAAAAAAAGTTTTTCCGAGTTGCACAGAGGGGAAGTAAATGGGATTCATGACAACTTAGAAATGGCATTCATGGCTCTTTTCCCATCCCATGGACCACCCCTCAGACATTACAGGAGAGGTGTGAGGGACACACGACAATCCCGTGCCTGCTGGTGCTTGGCCATGCTTTAGCTGCTCACACAGAAGCTGATCCTGTACAAATTCCCAACCACTCATAAAAAGATCAGGTTATTGGTTTAAGTATGGAATCTGGGCAAATCCCAGGGCAGGTCAGAGGCAGAGAATGTAATTTCTGTAACTCTGCAGATCTTGCAAGTGGTGCAGAACTTCAGCACGTGAAGCAGGAAGGAGGTAGCTGCTGATCTACCCGGCAAACGGGGAAGGTGTAAGTGAAGTTTTAGTTTAAAATTTATTCTGCACTGTCCTGTGGCAACACAAATATAAAACAGCACAGCTCCCTGCTGGGAGCAGAATAAAGCTAATTAATTACAGTTTGTAAACGAGCAGGGGAGGGCTGGGTGAGCTCTGAGCGTGGGAGCAGCTGCTGTGTCCCAGCCACTTCCGACCTGTCCCTGCCCTGGGCAATGAGTGGGAAGGCAGGATAATGAGGGAAATAACCCAAACCTTGACACACTCTTTTGGGTAGGTGTATCCTAAATTAAATCCCATTTAGTAATTACATCCCATTAGCTGCAACAGGTGAGAGATCCAACCCAGCAGACTTTGACCGCAGCAGCAGATCCCTGATATGAATCTTTGTATAAATCCTGAACTTTTAAAAAGCAGTGTTTTCATCTGAAAATTTCACTTCTTTCAGCTTCAAACTTCAAACTGTGAACAAAACATGCAAACAAGTCATGGAGTGAGAAAGTGTTCTAAACCAACTTTATTGGAATGATACAGGAATGGTTAACATACAGTTAAATCCTCAATGCCTGCTTTCTACATAGGAAAAAAATAAGAAAAAAAAGAACAAATTCAGTTCTTGCACCCATGGAAACAGAAAACCAGCACAGAGGTAACAGATTCCTGGCACTCCTAAAGTCATGCAAGAGATCTGCATCAAAAAACTCAAGTTTTACACACACAACAAAGAGATTTTGGGTATTTTCAGTTTGTGTTGGTGCCTTGTTCCCCGGACAAAGGAATAATTCAGCCTGGCTCACCAGAGCTGCCTTAGGAATGCTGATACAGTTTGAATGCTCCCATATGGCAAGGGGGGGACAGACGAGGGCAGTGACTTTGCTTTCTTAAACTTGGCGATTTTCTTGACTGTTGAGACAGGGATTGACCTCGTGTCAGAATGTTTTGGGTCGCTGAACTGACAGAATTTGGCAGCTACTTTTAATTACAGCTTCTCCAAAATAATGGCTGTAATTCACCAAACTTGCACAGGAAGCACAGCAAACTGGTATGGGTACAGATTTGTGTGTCAAATCCCACTTTCCTCACCACACTTCACTTAATATTCCACAATTCCCAAAAACTTGAGCAGGAATTCAGACATAGAGAAGGATTCAGCCAATATTAAGAAAGAAAAACAACCTCATTCAGAAAGATGAAATCATAGTGAACAACAAAAATCTGATGCTGGATTTAAAACATAACCAAACTTCCATCCCCAAAAGATCTTAAATTTCACAGAATTGCAGTAATTCCTGACAAAAGCTGTTAATAAAAAAGCACAGTTGTGTGTGTGTTAATCTTTAAGGTAAGGCAGCATCCATCCATCCCTTTGCCTCGTGATGCTGTGCTGCTTTTGTAAGCACAAGCTTCCAACTTCTTCCCAGGCTCCCAAAATGATAAATCAGGAATTAAAATATAGCCAGTAATTACAGGCTCCCTCATGAGCACTGGGAGAACACACAGGTTAATATTGCACGTGGTAAATTCACCCACACAAGACACTTAGAGAACTGCAATTCCTGTAATAGCTTTATGATATGGCAATAAGAATGAAAATAAAGTTTTAAAACCTTAAAAAAAAAAAAAAAGTCTTGCTTAATTACAATAACTTGCTATTCAAACATTTATTTCCTCATTTGAAAAAATACTATATGAACCTAATGGCTACTTGAACATGCAGTGAGATGTTTAATGCTCTAAGCAGTGTGAACTGGTATTTTTGTAGAGAAATACATTAAAGGCTTTCACCCTTACACAGGTAAGGAAAGGCCATTTCTGGCTGTTTTGGCTTGTTTGCAACATTTAACCTTGCCCCAGATGTGTCATTGCTTGTGCTTAGGCAGCTGTGAGGGACCCGTGTCCACTGCCCTTTTTGTCCAAGAGGCCACACAGATCATTTAAATGAGAAATACGTGGGGTTTGTTGGGGGTTTTATCACCTGTACAACTGTGTAACAATACAAACCTTAAATATCCATTCTACAGAAGACAAACACAACTTTCCAAAGTGACTACAATGGTTAAACTACACAGTACCACCTACAAATTCACCTGAAACCAGGAAAGACACTAAAAATTTACTGTGTAACTCAGTAACATTTTTGAGGCAACTCAGGCACTAAATTAGTATCTGACGAGGTCTTAGATGCTGTTTTCCATAGTTTAAATACTTGGATCTCTATGTAAAACCCATCTGCATTTTTAGTACTAAAATAGTTTCTTTAAGTTTACACAAAATGGACGAATTGCCAGGACAGTTTAAAGTAAATGTAACTCATTGATGTCTGATTGCTTCGGCTTCCATCAGAACCCACTCCCACTCCCTACCCTGAAATTCCCATTTCCATCCCGTGTTCAATTTGTGTCATGGACAGTGAATGCTGCAAGCACCAATCAAATGTTAGAAATCACATCTACATTTCTTGAAGCAGAGACAGTTGGACTATTTTATAAAAAGCTGTGGAAATTCCCTTTACAGACATTTAAGGCAGTTGATTCACGCTTGCTGCTTAGCCAGTGCTTCAGCTTCCTGAAACAGCAAAGAAGAATTACATGTTAGTAGTTTCTCAGTATGTTTCCAAAGGAACACTATAAAACAATAACCTGCATTTTTCAATAATCTTTCAGTCTTTGTAAGGTGATCATAAATGGGAACAGAATGACAACAGAAGAAATGCAAAAGGAATTTTCTTTTGGTTTCTCCAAATGTGCTTTTGAATGCAGATTAATTTAATTACCTGCTAGCAGCACCATGACCTACAAGGAGATGAATGAGAGATGAATTCCCAGTGCCCTCAGTGCAGCACCTCAGCAGGGACAGCCTGGTTTATTTGAAAGGACAAAGTTCAATGTCTGCCAAGATGTGTTGGAGCCATTTGCTTTTGTGACTGCACAGAAATACTCAAGATAACAGATTCAATATCATTGTTACCATGACCCAGAGTTGCTAAACAAACAAAACACACAAGGAGAAAGGACTAAGAGGGGAATTTCCAAGAAGTCTCTAGAATTTTTTTTAGGAGGAGACACAGTGGGTGACCCCAGCCTATAGGGCAGGAAGTCCCACACATATGTCCTGTATCTTGGATGTGGTGGCTCACTCTGGTTGTCCTGGCCAACTGCCTTTGAACTCAGGGCGTGGGAAGAGCCTGGCTTGGAGCTGCCGTGCTCCTGGCCATGCTCTGCTCTGCTGGCCTGTCACGGGTCAGACAGCGGGGCTGGGATGTCACTGGGGCTCAGATGTCACCCACAGGCCTCATGCGAGGACATCCACAGCAAAAAAGGCAGGTGAGCAATGAAAGGAAGATCAGAGAGAGCTACAAAGCCTGGAAAAAAGAAGTGTGTTTGATATTCTCTAAAAGACAAGTGGTTCTTTGAATGGTAAGAAAGAGGAGGTCCCCTTGGCTTCGTAACAACTCCCTTAACCAGCCCAGGGCACTGCAATGTTGGCACCTCAATGGTTGTTTTTTTTCAATACAAAGTACATTTCTTCACAACAGTCACTGGAAAGCTGGTAAGGATTGCTGCTATTTCCCTCATGCTCAGGAAGGTTGGTACAAGTAACCTGCTAACCTATTTTTCTTGGAGGTCAAATTCCATTTTCTTGGGCGTAGGCCTGCAAGTTATCTGGGAGAGGCTCAGTTTTCCAGGCTTGACACTGTCCCTCTTTCATACTTTTCCTTATTTCTCCCTCAAGGCCCCTCACTGAGCATCCTCTCAGTTCTTAAATCTTTAATAAAGAAATAATTAAACATAGCTTTTAACTCACAAAACCCTCTCCCTTTAAAATCTACCCATATTGCTTGAAGTGGAGATATTTAAGAAAAACTAAAGGTCAGCCTTTTTCCAGAGTTTGTAGATCCAAAGGATGAACCAAACCATCAGGGCTCAGAAAACAGTTACTTGAATTTACCATGCTCACTTCTGAACCAGTTCTGCTTTGCATTAATATCAAACCTTTGTGTTCAGAGTCAAATAACTTCCAAAATTTCTCCTGATGGCATCGAGTGGAGGTTTCCTGCCATTTTCTGCAGTTGCCATGTCATTCCCTACAACATTATATCCAAGCTGCACACAGCTATGCTGGAAACATCAATTTCAGCACCTACAAATCTGTGTACACTCCTCAGCAGCCTGCAACTGACTTGACTGGACATCCTGTGGGAGAGATTCCCAAAATCAGCCCCAGAGCAGGACACAGGGGGTACAAGGTCACTGCTGCAAAGGTTATTTACCATCATCAGCCCAACACAACATGGAAATTCAGCAGAGTACAGCTGTGTTCTTTCTATCCCTTCTGTTTAAAATTCACCTTTTTCTTAGGTGAGGACAGAACTGGAGCATCCCTTAGGAAAGAAGCAGAGCTCCTGCCAGCCAGCAGGTCTGGGAAGCAGCAACGTTCCCAACGTTACTGAGACAGGTGACCTGATTTGTTATGGCAGCAGCTGCTCTCTGGTACCACTGCACTTCCCAGGGGGAAGGCATGAGCTTCTCTGTATCTCAGAGTCTCAGGATGGCTTCCTGGCTCCTTGGCTCCATCCTGCACACTGCTGAGCAGGGAGGTTCCAAGGAACTTCACCAGGACTGTGGCACTGTGTGCAGCTGGTCTGATCCTGGCAGCGGGTAACGCTGGGGTGCATATCCCAGGTTCTGCTCTGGGCAGCTCTGCATGAGGCAGTTTTTCCTCATCACACCATTCCCAGTGGAGCTACTACTGGAAATCTGGCTCCCAAAACTGCTTCAGTCTGCCCCAGTGCTCACTGCTCATGGGTCACCATCCACCTTTAAAATTAGGTCTCTTAGTGATGTGCACAGCATGACCTTCAACTCGTACATGAGTAAAGCTGAAAGGGAGCGGCGTGTTTATCCACTGGAACAGGAAAGCTGGAAGTGACCTGGAGGATCCTGCTGCTGTCAAGTGAAACGTATAAAGCAGGCTTGTCTTATCCTATCAAAATCAAAAGAAGAATTCCAGCCCATTGCATCCGCAAAGCAGTAGCCCAGTTCGTAATTGGCAAAGGAAAATAAGCTCTGGATAACAAACCAGAGGAAAAAATTACTCTGAAGCAAGACCATGTTATTTCAGAAACAGTGGCTCTGGTTTCAATAGATTTTCTGGTAGAAAAATCTCATCAAAATTTCACATGAATTTTACTTTTTTGCTGAACTGAAAACATTCTTTGATTTTGGGATAATTTTTTTCATCTAGGTTTCTTATGAATTCTTCAGTGCAAATATTAACTACTTTGAAACTGAAGCCTGAGAGCCTCTGGAGACTGAGTATCTCCCAGGGAGATTGATGGGGGCAATGACATGTACCAGATCCTATTCTGAGCAGAGAAGGAGGTGAAAGCCACAGGCTCCCTGTGAGGAGGTGCTCACCTACCTTTGACCCAGGAGGTGCAGTCAAGCCCAGGAACGCGTACACGGCGTTGTTCTCCCGCGCCTCGAAGAACGCATCGTAGTCCTTTGCCATGGCAGGAGGGATTGGGAATAAAAAGCAGAGGAGTGAATTGTCAGAAATAATCTCAACTCAGTTTAGGGTGTCACCCAACCAACACCAAGCAAACTGCTTCCTGTAGCCAAATGCAAAATTAAGTGTCAGCTCATGTATGTGGCATTAGCACTAACAGCACACAAACTGGTCAGGCTGGAAAGGGACAAGCTGGGAATTCACTCTATGTCCCAACAAGATGTTGCTGTGAGGTGCTCCAACCTCTCCCAAAGTGACAGAATCCACACAAGGAAGGTGTTGTCATTGGTTTGGTGTGGACATTCCCCCTCAGAAGCAGCCGAGCCTGGATCTTTTCATGAGATGTTCCCAGATGTCATTGCTGATTCCTGATAGGGATGGCAATTGTGAAACTGTGTCTCCAGCTCTTAAATCTGTCAGAAGTTCAGCTGGAACTTTTACACTGAGAATGCACTTTCCCCATCGCATTTCTCACTAAAGATTAGTCTGTGCAAGTGAATAGGGTGGCACTGTTCACTCAGTGCACTACAAATACCCTAAACACACACAGCCACTTCCCAGGAAAATTAAGGTAATAAATAAATAAATAAATGAAAAGAAACACCAAACCCCAACTAAAGGAAGCCAGAAGTTTTGTGCAAGCTCACTGTTGTCCAAGTCACCACACAATTCCCTCACACTGACTTCTGAACTCAGCAGGGATCAGTCCAATGACTTTCCTGCTCTCTATTTTTAACTGATGCACTTTAACAGCCTCCTCCAGCTTTCCTGGGCAATGTTTGGATACAGGAGTCCTGGGTGGGAAGCCCAAGGCAGGTAGCAGCTTGATCTCAGGCTGGAGTCAGGGAGAGCTGCTATGGGCACACTGCTCTGCATTCCTGACTGTCTGGGAGGCAAATGCCTAAGGAACAGCAGCTGAGGGGGGCAGCTCTAATGAGAGGCTGCTGCAGCTAGAACAGAACAAAGTACAGGAACCAGAAGATTCCAACTGCCTGGAATTCAGGGGTATCAAATTATTGCTCCATTTGCACATGCAGCAATCGCGTGCTGGTTTGATAAAAATGTGTGTGATTATGGTAAATCCTCCCTGAAGCCCTCCTGTTGACAGGACTGGGGCTGCTTGATAACAAAGGGATTGTTTATCTTGGTGCACAGGCCATGAGCCCGCTCTGCAGCATCTCCCAGGACAGGAATTCCTGGGCCTGAGGAGCAGGGCTCGTGCCAGCCCACACAGCATCTCCAGTTCCAGCCTCTCTGCTGTGCATGGGCCAGGAAGGCCAATTTGCTCTTTGCTCTGCCAGTTGTGCTGCATCAGATGGAACAAACGGGGAACTTCATGCTTGAGAGGCATCAGATAAAGACAGAAAGAGGTTCAAATTCTGGGCACAGAATTAACTTTTACCTTCCTGAAAGCTGAACTGTAGCTACTTGAATCCAGCAACAGAAACTGACCGAATTTCTAAAGTTCAACATGACATCAACCAAAATTTTGGGGATGAAATAAACCCACAGCAAGAACCTTGTAACTAGTCTACTGGTTCGATAACTACAGATCCTTATGTTTGTCACTCCAAACCAACCTTTTTCCATGTCACAACCAGTCAGTAAAATTTGGAGAGCCAAGTGACACAACAGCTCACTGTGGATATTATTTCAAGTTCTGCTTCTATTACAAGCAAGAAAAATTCTTGGCACATTGAGAATAATTTCTTTCAGTAGGTACAGATTTGTCTCACAAAGGTCCAGAACTGACAGGTCTTGACTTACAGACTGTGCAGGTCAGAGCCAGACTTCAAAAGGACCAGAGAAATGCACACTGTGAGCTTTGTTCAGAAGATATTAAGTTTTAAAAATAAAACTAACAGTTAATCTAATAACCATTCAAGCATGGCCTGCTGAGTACAAGTACTGCAGGGCAACTTACATTTGGTCAAGCATTAAAATAATTACAGTAGGATTTTTGTTTGCAACCCAGGTTTTAATCTGTCCAAGGCACTGGAGTAACTGAACCACAGCAGCCTTCCTTATGCAAGCAGCACACAGAGCTGATCCCAAGAAGGATCAGAAAACAGATTTATAATCATGGCAGACATCAATTCATATGATCTGGGATTCACACCTACTGGGAAACGCCACACAGACCTCTGAACAGATCAGAACAGATCTCTGAACTTGCTACAGGACATAAGGTTGGTGTAAAAGGGCCAGATTTCTGTGAGATGTTAACTCACAATCATGTAGAAAATGAGGAGTAAAAAACCTGAGAACTTTCAGAGCCATAAGATGGGAAAATCCCCATAGGAAAAGAAAATTTTATACGTACTACAAGACAGGATCCAAACCAAGAAGTCTGCATTTTAATCTTTCCTATGGTGTGACTGGAATACTCAAGCACCAATTATTACTAAAAGCCCAAGACGGAGGGAAATGTCTAACACCTCCTACAGCCTTCCCAGTTTG